CGGAGCACAGCTAGTTCGTTAAATAAAGGAGATTACCCATCCTTCTATGGACCATCGCTGCACATAAAATATTTTTGTATGATAGCATAAATTGGATATAAAAGAGGGGAGATGTACTTTCCAAGGAAATAAAAATGATCTATTTATTTCGTGGGGTTTTGTTGTTCTTTGATATTCTGATTTCTTATATTTACGCGAACACTACACATTGGTCGTCATGATGTAGAAAAAGGGCGCTAGAGGGAATTGAGTAAAAATCTTACAATCCTAACACCTCGATCCAATAGCACGACGCGCGAGAATAGGGATATCGATGATATCTAAAAAAAAACATATACTCTCTTAGCGATGGTATTCATATTGATGGGGAATCTATTGCAATCTATTCTTAACCGCCACTGTACGGCATGGAAATATATTAGTATAGCGCCGGCGTTTTTTTCCTTTTGAAAACAATTGTTTTGCTATTCTTACTAATTAGACGTTTTCAGATCGACTTTACTTTTATATTTGTATAACATTAAATAATATTTAACATTTGTAAATATCAATGAATCATAAACCTTATTTTTTTTCCAAATTAAGGTTCTTGATTGTTTGATATTTACAAATGTTATTATTAGGTGAAAATTTAATTGAATAAAAACCAAAGTTTCCAGGGTGATTTAGCAGTACTTACTTATATAAATGATTCTTTTATAACAACAAAAAATAGTACAAAAGGTTTGTAATCTCTTCATAAAAAAAGTCACTTTCAATTTCAAAGAAAACACGTAGAAAAACATGTCGTTACCCACTAATAACAAGTATCCTTCCGTTTGTAACTGATGTTTGATGTCAACTAAACTTAATTAGGTCTAAACAAGTGAAAAAATGCCGTGTAGTGGCGGTTAAGAATATCCACTACCCCATATCTTCCCGTGGGTGTCGTAAAAGGCGACAAAGGGAAACAGGCAGGAGATGGGCAGCAGCATCTTCCTGGTAACGACAAAATACAATAAAAAACTGCGGTTGCCAACCCGCTCGCCAAGCGTGGCAACTATGGCAATATACCCCCCATAATGAAGGTTACGAAGAGACGGCCCCCAGTCCCCGGCGGCCCCGCTATTCCTGGCTACGGTGGCGACCATGGTAACGGCGGGGCAGGGGGTGCTAAGAATCTCCGGTGGAGGTTCGGTTGCCACCTACAACGACTCGACCTGGCAACATACAACGCACGCACCCTGAGGACTGACGAGAAGATTGTGGAGCTGGAAGAAGAGATAGACAAGTTACGCTGGCATATTATAGGATTATCCGAAGTCCGAAGAGAGGGGGAGGACACGGTAATCCTTGAATCCGGCAACTTGCTCTATCACCGGGAGGGCGACCATCTGTCCCAAGGAGGTGTCGGATTTATCGTCCACAAGTCTCTCGTTAACAACGTTGTAAAGATTGAGAGTGTGTCGACGAGGGTTGCGTACCTTATACTCAGAATCACCAAACGGTATTCGCTGAAGGTCATACAGGTTTACGCACCAACCTCGGCACACCCCGATCAGGAGGTGGAGGAAATGTATGAGGATATCTCTAGAGCCATGCATTCCTCCAAAACCCAATATACGGTGTTAATGGGAGACTTCAATGCAAAACTAGGCACAAGAGAGAACGGTGAGCTGAAAGTGGGGAAATTTGGAATAGGGCAACGGAACCCAAGGGGCCAGCAGTTGGCCGACTTCATGGAGAAAGAGGGACTCTTTATGATGAACTCTTTCTTCCAGAAGCGGCCCCACAGGAAGTGGACCTGGTCGAGCCCCGACGGTTCGACAAAAAATGAGATTGACTTCATTATGACGACCAGACGACAACTGTTCAGTGATGTCTCAGTGATCGCGAGGGTGAAAACCGGCAGCGATCACCGAATGGTTAGAGGCACACTGAACCTAAACGTTAAGTTGGAGAGGTCTCGTCTAATGAAGTCAACGCTCCGTCCCCCTCGTGCTCTAATCCAAAGTCCCGAAACCTTTCAGCTCGAGTTGCAAAACCGTTTTCAGTGCCTAGAAGACTGCAATGAAGTGGACGATTTGAATGACAAGCTCGTGGAAACTGTCCATGCGGTCGGAGCTAAGTTCTGCAAGACCCGCCGCAGAAGAACACAAAAACTCTCCGATCACACTCTTAATCTCATGGCTGTTAGACGGGAGATGAAGCTACATTCTTCAACAGATTTGACAGCATACAGGCAACTGAACAGACAGATCTCCAAATGCATGCGGCGGGACTTACGCAACTTCAATACAGCTCGTATTGAAGAAGCGATCGAGCGGAACCAAGGCTCCAAAGTCTTTGCCAGAGATCTGTCTGCCAGAAAGAGCCAACTGTCAAAGCTGAAGACCGAATGTGGCAGCATCGTTTCCGGGGCACCTGAGATTTTGAGTGAGATTGAGAGGTTCTATGGGCAGCTGTACACGTCATCGTTGGAGCCACACGCAAGTGTGAGTAACGATCCAAGAGCGAGTCTTATCCGACATTATTCCGATGATATCCCGGACGTCAGTCTGAGCGAGATTAGAATGGCTCTCCAGCACCTTAAAAACGGCAAGGCCCCAGGCCAGGATGGAATTACAGCGGAGCTTCTGAAAGCGGGTGGAAAACCGGTACTTGAAGTCCTTCAGAAGCTCTTTAATTCCGTCCTCCATGGTGGCATTACACCGGAGGCGTGGAGCAGAAGTGCGGTGGTCTTGTTCTTCAAGAAAGGCGACAACGCTCTCTTGAAGAACTACAGACCGATTTCCCTTCTGAGCCGCGTCTACGTGCTGTTTTCGAGAGTCATTACGAATCGTCTCGCGCGCAGACTTGACGACTTCCAGCCTCCCGAACAAGCCGGTTTCCGAAAAGGCTTTAGCACCTTAGACCACATACATACCCTTCGGCAAATTGTACAGAAGTCCGAGGAGTACAATTTGCCACTATGTCTGGCGTATGTGGACTATGAGAAAGCCTTTGATTCCGTCGAAATTTGGGCGGTGCTGCAGTCCCTTCAGCGATGCCAAGTTGACTGTCGGTATATCGAAGTGTTGAAGTGCTTGTACAGTAGGGCTACGATGGCTATCCGAGTACAGAACCAGAGTACGAAACCTATCCAATTGCAGAGAGGTGTAAGACAGGGTGACGTCATATCCCCGAAACTCTTCACCGCTGCATTGGAAGATGTTTTCAAGCTTCTGGACTGGAAAGGATACGGTATCAACATCAATGGCGAGTACATCACTCACCTTCGATTTGCCGACGATATAGTCCTTATGGCAGAATCGCTGGAGGACCTAAGCACTATGCTCAATGACCTCAATAGTGTTTCCCAACGGATAGGTCTTAAGATGAACATGGACAAAACAAAGATCATGTTTAATGTCCATGTCACACCTATGCCGGTAGTTGTTGGGAACACTAAGCTCGAAGTTGTTGACGAGTATGTTTACCTGGGACAAATAGTCCGACTAGGTAAGTCCAACTTCGACCGAGAGGTCAATCGACGGATTCAACTCGGTTGGGCAGCGTTCGGGAAATTACGGCACATCTTCTCGTCAGGTATACCTCAAAACTTGAAAACGAGACTGTACACCCAGTGCGTGTTGCCAGTGATGACATACGGAACTGAGACGTGGTCCTTCACTGCTGGCCGGATGAGGAAGCTCAAGGTCGCTCAGCGAGCTATGGAGAGGGCTATGCTCGGAGTTTCTCTGCGTGATAAACTCAGAAATGAGGATATCCGCAGTAGAACCAGAGTGACCGACATAGCCCAACGGATTAGTAAGCTGAAGTGGCAATGGGCCGGCCATATAGCTCGAAGAACCGACAACCGATGGGGAAGAAAGGTTCTCGAGTGGCAGCCTCGTACCGGCAGGCGAAGTGTAGGGCGTCCCCCCACTAGATGGAGTGACGACCTGGTAAGATTTGCAGGAAGTCGATGGATGCAGGTGGCTCGGGACCGTGCTTTGTGGCATTCTTTGGGGGAGGCCTATGTTCAGCAGTGGACTTGTGAAGGGCTGTAATGATGATGATGATGATGAAGTGAAAAAATCATAAAAAAGAAAATTATATTTGCACATGGCTGATGGCACAATAGGCGTGTCATCAACTTCTGTGGCAAATATTTGTTCGCCGCCACAGCTAAAAGTTGTCGTAAATCAGTGCCGCAACGAATCGGTTAAGATATTCATCTTTTCCCTTATTACGATTAAACTCTTTTATAGCATTTAATAAGGCTTTTTTTATGACGCTGTTTAAGTCCAAAATAATAGGACGGGGGGTTTCATTTTTGGAGGGTATGCGATAAAAAACTCTTATATCTGATTCTTGAAAACTGCAGTTCAATGTCTTCACCATGATCTCGACAATTTCGCATAAATCAGTTTTTGTCTCTGGTCTATTATTCTGGTGATAGATTCTTGGCGTGTTTCGTATTTCTACAGCTGTAGCTTATGATCTCTTATCCAAAAGCTCAATTTTGTCCTCCAAAATCCGAATTGTTTTTTTGTCGTTTAAACGTTCTTCCTCCATAGTTTTTATTTTTCTAATAAGTGGTCATACTTTTCATTCATAAACCTCTAGACTTTTTGCATGTCATAGTTTTAATCGGCGATTTGATTTACTGAAACATCCAGTTCTTCAGAGCGCTTCCCGATTTTAGTGGAGAAGGACGAAAATAAATCTTAATATATTTAATTTTCTGATGAAAAAAAGCTAGTAATCAGGGAATAATAAATGTTTTTAGCTCTCCTGTAATTTTTTGAAAAATTGAGGTTCGCCTCTGTGGCGTCTACGACGCATTACTCAGAACATAATTTTTCGCTATTTTTTATTCGAGAGAACTTCCCTTAGTAAGGTGTATAGGTGTGTAGTCTGCAAGGAAGGTTTACATTTGGAGAGATAAATGCTCACGTATATCTCTATGTTATAATACTGTAATAATTATATGTTTAACATTACACAACTGAACATAAAAACCGTTAACATTTCAGGATGAACGGCAAACGATACTTCACATGTCCTCCCAATCACGGTGGGTTTGTGAAACCCGTTTACGTAACAGTAGGAGACTTTCCGGAAGAAAAGTTGGATGTGGAAGATGAAATTTAATCTCATTTTTTTTATAAATTCGCTTGTGTTGTCTGAGAGCTCGTAGTGTGTAGCTCAATCTTTGGCTATTATTAACATTTAGGGAACTTTATACAGTTTACCTTTAGTACGAAGATAATTACGGGTGAATTATGTTAAAAATCTAGTATTAAAAATGTTAAAAAAAATATGGTCATTATTTTGTTTGAAAGAATATAGATCAGAGCAATGATAAAGGACTGATAATTGTGAAGTTATTTTTAGTTTCTCATGATATTTAAAGACTGCTTATTTTTTACATTTATTGAAACATGCTGGTAGGGTATTTTATGAAGGTTTTTTTTTGTTCAGATAGTTAAGAGAATATAAGATGCTATATTTAATAAATGGTTTTTTAATATAAGTCATGCAAAAAAAAAAAACAGTTGTGATTGGATGAGAATTAAGTACAAGACTTAGACTTAATTTTCTACTATAATTGCTATGATATTACAATCGTGCTTTGCATTTATCGTATACATTTTTACTATTAGAAAGCCCACAGTGGTTTTACTACTAATTAGTCATTTAAATTACCTTATTTTATCACAAACTCAAAAAAAAAATTATTTTTTTTAAACTGAAGGCTCTGGGTTCTTGCCCTTCTGAGCCTCCCAAAGAGAAGAAAAGTTTTCATTCATACTTAGAGTATAACACTAATGTAACATTCCATACTCTCGAAACATTTCTAGTTTTGTTCAACCTCATACTGATTGCCGTGATAAAATATTAACATTAAATATTAATATTGTAGTGTTTTAGTATATGCTTATGAAAACTAATAAACACATTATATGAAAGACACCTTTTATTTTATACCTTCATGTGCTATTCCTATTTTAAATGAATGTTGTGGCCTGTATACGTCTATACCTTATCTTCGATTAAGAATCGAAATTCATCCTTCAGGAATAAAATGAGTCTTATTACCTCTAAAAATGTGTACCGAGTAGATTTTTTTTGCCAAATAGCTGTGCTTGCACTGTATTCCGGTCTGAAGTCTTTAGGGAGCCAGTATAATTACAAGCTGTAAGGCATTCCACCTTAGTCCTGAGGGGTGACAACTCATCTGTAGCCTTTATTGTTTGAAGTTGGTTGCAGATATCCGTAATATAATCCATCCAAGGATTGTAAGTTCGTTTGTTACTTCAGTCTTATAAAAAAGAACATTTCACTATGCTACTACTTTACTCTGGTATTTTTTGTAACACAGCAACATTAAGCTGCTATTTTACTCTGGTATTCTGTGAGAGCGTGGCCTTCCCCGGTCGAGCTTATATAGCTGTAGCATGGCTCTACCACGTATAAAAATTCATAATTTCATCCGTTCATACCATAATATAGTTACTATGTGGTTCCACAACTAAAAAAATTGCATAATTAGCTTAAGAGCCCAGTGAGCGGCAGACTTACGGTATTTCAATAAGCTTCACTTTTTTTTTTCAGTTAATCGCCTATGCCTGAGGTACATGAAACGGGGACTCTTTAGTTTGACCGGCGGTCGATATAGAGACGCTCAGGTGTTAAAGGTGTAAAAAGATGACCCGAAAATACGTGATACCAATAAGTCTGCCGCTTTGACATCTTGAAATATTTAATAAAAGTTACCGAAAAATAACATTGGCAGACACCTATGACGGTTTCAAGGTCATGGCAGACAGGTTGAAAAGTACAACTTTTTATTAATAATTTACGTTATTTCAATAAAGCTGCAATTTATATATATTGTTGATAATATTATTTGACATGTATAATTTTCACGGCAGACATATATTGTGGTCGTATCACCCAGGCAGACAACAAATTTCTGGGGCGTCGACTCCCAGATCCAGGACTGGACTAGGGCAGCTTCCTCGAATAAATCCCTGTCGATGCGCTTAAGCGCCCAACGCGGGCCGTCGTTAATCGGGGTTGTTGGATGGCGGCCGCCCGCAGTCTGGGCAGAGACGTCGAACCGGATATACCGATGGTCCGACAGCGTCTCCACCTCTGCGGCGACACGCTAGTCGCGGACTCGGCTGGCGACAGAGGGGCTAGCAAACGAGACGTCCACTATCGACCCACCCTGCTGCCGCACGGACGTGTATTCCGAATCCCGATTCAGGACGACCAGACCAGTCGTCAACCGTCTACTCTTCTAGCACCTCGTCCCGAGGGTCAGTGACCGGAGATCCCCACGCCGATGACGGCGTTGAGATCCCCGAGCACCAGAACGGGACGAGGGTGATAGCGGCCTACGACGGCGCCCAACTCGACAAGGAAACCCTCAAAGTCGGCGAGACTCTTGTTGGGGGAGAAATACGCCCCTACAACAACGATGCCGCCCGAGACCGCAGCAACCCAGCCGCGGCCCCGAGACGGGTCGATCAGAGTCTCGCCAATAATGGCCACTAAACCGTCAGCGCATCCCAAACAGTTGTCACGGGCGGGAATGAAGTACGGTTCGGCGACCACAGCCACGTGAATCGACCACTCTGCCATGCTCTGGAGTAGGAGATCCTGAGCTCTGGCACAGTGGTTGATGTTGCCCTGGAGAAAATGGAATTGTGTCGTTACTGGCATTCCATACCCTCGGCAACGGTCCTGGGCCGGGAGTCGGCCGCGGAGCTGCTAGCCTGCGGGGGCAGCGAGGTTAACCCGGCAGGCTTAGTGCTCCTCTTCTTTTCCTTTTTCTTCTTCTTGCTGGCAGGCGCCCCACAGGCCCCTCCGCCTACTCTGTGCTCCGCTGGCCTTCCCGCAGCAGAACAAAGGCTGCAGTTGAGCGCCGCGAAGCACAGGGCAGCCTTGTGGCCAGGCTGGCCGCAGCGATAACAGAGGTCACTACGGGCAGGCCACTCATCCGAGCTTCACGCGCCTCCTCGGCATACCTGCCTTCAGCCTGGATCAACTCGTCCGTGAGCGAAAAGAACTGCTCGTAGTCCGCGAAGCAGGAGTCCAGGACTCCCTTTTCCACATCCGAATCCTCGAGCTCAGCGTAAGCCTCCTCCACTGCGGCCCGTCGAGCATCGACCTGCTCGAACTGCTTCATCAAGTTATGGACCCTATCCGGTCGACCTATCAAATCATGGGCGCTTGTAGCCCAGCGTAACTCAGTCCGCAGGCAACGGATTAGTAGCTTGGGCGAAATACAAATTACGACGCGGCTCGAGCACAAATTACAGAGATAACAAATAAAAAATACAATAAAAAATTAACAGTTAATAAATGCAGTTCCTATCAAATCGCGTTGAATAGAAATTACACAAATACGAATTACTACGTATCAACCAAATACAAGTTAGCACAAAAGAAAAGACACATCAAAATAACAAATACTAGTGCGATCAAATCAAGTTAAATTCAAATGGCGCAAATACAATTACTACTCTTTAATTCAAATACAAATTACAATACAAACTAAGATACACCTCACGGCTGATCAACAAAAAATGCCTAGCTCGGAAATCGACCCTTCGATAAGCAATCCACTACAACTATCCGACAACGATAATTAACCGATTACGTGATAATATCCATCTACCTACATGACGTATACCTTTAGAAAAACTCCCGCTTGCGCACTAAAAGGGCGCGGCTTTCAAATCTACCCGCTAACCAAATAAGCAAGCAACAAAGGAAAATAATTTTATTATTACGTACAAAAAAATATTTTTACGTATTTTTACGGGCGTGATTGTAGATACAAATTAAACCAATCAAACCAACGCTCCCTGCCACCAAAATTGTTTAATTTTTATCAAACACTATGGTCAGGATCGACCGGGGAATCGAACCCGGAACCACGCTCTGCTACCAGTTTGCACACGCCCCTAGCTGCCCCAACCAAGGATGACGGGAGTAGGGCCCATGAGTAATCCCATCGACGAGCAGCAGAGGGACGGAGTCAGAATATGGCCACGTGGAATTTCCTAATTACAATAAACAATATGGGAGAAAGCTACAAACACTTAGTACTTACCATTATCCGAAGTTAACTTCGCACCAAGGCTTGGGCAGGCCGTGAGTGTGTGTAATAGTGGATGGCGAGTAGTGTACAGTGAGGTGTGAATGTGTGGGGCCTTGGCAAGCATAGGCGACCAGCAGCGGCCGAGTTCCAGGCTGCTCCAAAATGCTGCACCGCTTCAGACTGCTTCGGCGCCGGACCACTTCTTCGTTCGTCACGATGACAGTCCATTAACTCTATCGTACGATTAACTAGCTTACAGAAGCCACTAACTCTCGTTTGTTATAAGGTTAACGCACAAAACTAACACGGAGTGTCCGGATCAAAGGTCACTACCGTTTCGCGTAGCAATAGTTATTTCTAGAATATCAAAGGCCGCCTTAGCTAATATTGTCGAATGCACTTATACAGATTCTGAGTCAAACCCAATGAGTCCCGGGGAAGCTCTACAGCAAGGAATGCGCGTCACAAATCCTAGACAGAATATTTACTATCCGCGCCTAATTATTCCGAGTTCCCGAATAAAATTGACAGCGTGCGGACGTCAGCACAGCTGGCATACGACTGACTTGCATTCGCGCGCGCTCGACACATCCAACTGTCAAATCGGTATGGCACCGAGCCGCGCGCCATCTGACGTCGATTCCGACAACAGCGTTTGGCGCGAACAATATTAATATACAAAACAATGTGTATTAATATAATACATTGCTATTTAATTTTTTAGACATTTTTAATTTTTTTTCTTTTTTTATGAATATATGTGATTTGGTTTATTTATTTTTAATCTTATTAATACAAAATATAGCTAACAGTATAGAAAGAAACATTTACATTTTCCGAACAAATTAAATTCCCCTATGAAATCTATCAAATATTGTACCTCACTTTTAAATGGCGCCGCCCTGGAGGCAGAAAAAGTCCTGGATGCCCCCGTTCTTTAATAGGACGTTGCTTTATGTGGCAGTTTAAATTTTAAAATGCTCGAGAAAAATATTGTGATACAATGGCGAAACAATATGTTCAACAACTTGGTGACCACGCAGCTGTGGCCTCTGTTCTAAAATAATGCTGCTGTGCAAGAACTTCTGCATTAGCCACTTACCTTTAACTGTAATCTTGGTTAGCCCTTTAATGAAAATAACCCGTAATATCAACCGTCATTTATATTACAGTTTAACTACACGGCGTGTTCATAAAATATAAAAGTTTTGTAGAATTTTTGAAAGATGACTGATGTAGAAGTAGAGAAGCTTTTTGGGTTTTGGGTGAAGTAAATGATAAATAGGTATAATATTTTGTGTACAAACCGTGTAATCATGTCAAACTGTTTCCGCCGAAAGCTGCCTGGGACGTTGCTCTGCAATAACGCAATACTTTAATTTTTAAATACTTAAAATGCAGAGACTCCTAGCAGATCTTGGGACGGTTACGCGAGTGTCGGGTGCTTGTTCAGGCGGCGGTCGCAGTGCTGCGTCTCTCACCTTCCTTTTCATACGTCTTCCCCTGCCGCTAAGGTGTTGGGAATGCGTTCACTATTAGAGATTTATTGATCTTTATATCCTATTGTTATATCATATTTTTCGATCTTATTACATAGGAGCCTATTATAAATAATTACCTTTACAGCTTATTAAAGTCCACTGCTAAACATTGGCCTCCCCCATAGATTGCCTCATAGCGGGGATATTTCCCATAATTGCCACGTTTGGCAATGAAAATGTGGTGCAACCGCATTTTTTGTTGTTGTTGTTAGATAGGCTGTAATTAATGAATGAATAAGGAATGATCCAGAAATTAATAAACTAATATTGTTGTATAAAAGTAATTTAATAGCATTAAAACTTTCTCCGCTTCAATATCTCCGGGCGCCAGTTAATGGGGTGGGTTTCCTCCGAAGCGGTGTCGTCTTCTTTGTATATCTTGATTGTTTTGTCGGCTTCTGTGGTGATCAGACGCGATCCTGACTGGTCGAATGTCATCGAGAATATCCCCGCTTCCGAGTCCATAGAGCCCGGTTGAACTAGCGCCTAGTACAGAAATATAAATTAAATATCGCTTAAATATCAGCCCATTACAATTCACTAATGGACATGGGTTATTAGATACAAAAGAGGATTCGCCATCGTCGCCACGCCTGGGCGGATTGGCGTTTGCAGTACCAGAGTTAGCTTTGACGCTTCTCTCCGTCGCCAGTCTGGGTATACAGATGGTTACACCGTCATCTACCAGAGACTTAAAGATATTTCTGGTATTCATCCGATGGGTATTGTTAGAGTAGCTGTGAGTTCGACCCAGCGGACGAAACAAACCCAATTCGTTTAGATAGCAAAGTAGTTTATTTATTTATTTTATTTATTTATCAACACCGGCATTTTAAGTCAACCGTTGGCCTTTCCAAAATTCCACCAGTTTGCATTACTTCAAAGATTGAAGCTGTATTTTTTACATATTACCAATATGAGTCTTAAGATACAAATGTGACGTGGTAGAGCCACGCTGCAGCTATATTACTGGTATAGTTGTAGAACGAATAGGTCGCCTCGATCGGGAAAGGACCACGCTGTCACAGAATACCAGCGTAAAATAGCAGCTTAACGCTGCTGTGTTTCGAATGATGAGTGTAGAGAATCGGAGACCCTTTTTACTGGAAACGAGGCATTCCGTATTAGTCCTCATGGGTGACAATGCATACAGATGCATACCAATCAAAATACAGATTTTAATTGGTAATCGAGAATAGATGTAGAAGTCTATGGTCCACAGCAACCACTTACCGGTGGACTGTGTGCTCGTTTGTCACCCTTATCCTATAAAAAATATTAAGTTTCCAAATACATAAAATTTGATAGTAATATTTCAAAACGTTAATAAAAATGAAACTTTTTATTCAATATAGGATTATTAATAATACTTATTGAAAGTCACTCTATGTTTAATTTACCAATGGTTCAAAAATACCTCTGGGAAAAGCCAGCAAGAATCCATTGAAATTTAAAAAAAAATTAACAGTTTACAATCATTAATGTCACACAATAATTAACAATAGAAAACAAATTACAAATAGCTTGGAAGCGATCACAACCCAGGGGTTATTAAAATCCATTCTTAACTGTAACACAAAAATAATCATAACTTTCATAATTATTGTAATAGTTTTTATACATAAAACTGTATCTCACCTGTAACCTCTGGAAGTTGTAACCAGTCCGCCAGTCCCAGAAGTACATGGTGCCGTTGTCTCCACCACTCACTAATACTCCCTCAGGGTTCACGGCCATGCAGTTCACTATAGCATTGTGCCCGGACAGGTTTTGTATGAACTTTCCTTCCGGACATTTCCATTGCTTGATATTGTCCGGCGAGGCGGACGCGAAGGTGTACTGAGTGGGGTGGATCACTATGGCGCGCACAGATTTCTTGTGATTTGTGAGCGTGCACATTGATTTCCCAGCCGCTAGGTCCCAGAGACGTATCGTGGAGTCGTGTGAACCGGTGATGATCTGAAATATATTGCTTGGTTAGTTGTTTATTTTTATTAAAAATATAACGTGGTAGAGCCAGCCATATGAGTCGGATCGATTGGGGAAGGACCACGTTCTCACAGAATACGTATCATCGCATACGATCTTCCTTTGTTGGATTACCTATCCTAATCCTTTCTATGCTATTCTCTATTTTACACGATCCGTCTGTCCCTGCATATCTGAAATGCAAATTTCAGTATCAGGACGATTCTCACAACTGATGTCTCCGTTCCGCGGAAAATCTAACTCTTCATGTTCCTTTCTGTCGCACGGGCTTCTCTTACAATTCTTTCACTTCAAATGCAGTAAGACTCTGGAACATGTTACCCAGAAATATAAAAGAAGCAAAAACTAAACCTATCTTTAAACGTTTGCTCTGGGAATATTACTTAACGAAGCAGCAGTAGTTTCGGATAATAATAAAAAATTTAAAAAACCTCGGAAACTGTTATATTCTCAAATATGTATAATATAAAAATATCATATTTATTTACTGTGTATGTATTTATTGTGGGTATTTGTGTACAAGTATAAAATACTATTGTATGCATGTAAGTAGTAATGTAAATGTATATGTATGTGTATTGTATTTATTATCATTATATTATAATTTTGTGTTTTTTTTCCTTAAACCTTTAATTTTTTTTAATTATGAGTTTTGCACCCATCACTAGATTCTCTGCACAAACCAAAGGTAGACTGGTAGAGAATGCCTTTAGGCATTAAGTCCGCCGTTTTGTACATTTGTTGTATGTGTGCAAATAATAATAATAATAATATAGCCTCTTTATTTCCATAATGAATGACAATATATATATATATATATATATATATATATATATATATATATATATGATTACGAATACATAATTATGCATGCATAAAACAAAATATTACATTTCATAATTATCATGATTAATATTTTACAATGGCATAACAAATAATTTCTAAATTTTATACAAATTTCAAAATAATAAATAAATTAAATTTTCAGTTCATTTTATAAAATTTATAATATAATTCATTATGGACCCCTCAACGGGTGAAGGCCTCCTCCATTTTTCTCCACATCTGTCTGTCCTTTGCCTTTGTGATCCAATTTTCACCGGCTTTTCTTATTATTTCATCAACCCATTTTTCTCTCGGTCTACCTCTTTTTCTTTTGTTTATTGGTCCTTGCCAGTTAGTTACTATCTGTGTCCATTTTTGTTTGTCCATACGTGCAATATGACCCGCCCATTTCCATTTTTGTTTTTCAGAATGTTCCAAAGCATCTATTAATTTTGTTGTGTTTCTTATGTCTGTGTTTCTTTTTCTGTGTTTTCTTTGTATATTTAGTATACTCCTTTCCATTGCTCTCTGACATACTTGTATTTTGTTTATAGTGTTATTATTGTATATCCATGTTTGGCAGCCATACGTAAGACAGGGCAGTAAACATGTGTCCATAATTTTTTTCTTGAATTTTATAGGGAGTTTTGATTTTAGGGTTTCTTTATTGCTCCAGAATTTGTTCCAGGTTATGTTAACTCGTCTTTTAATCTCATCTTCGTGTCTTGTCCCAGAAAAAGATACTTGTTGTCCCAGGTAAACATAGCTTTGAACGTATTCTAATATATTGTTATTGACCCTCATTGGTATAATATGGTGGTTTGTCATGACTTTAGTTTTGGTAGTATTTAGTTCTAAGCCGATCGTTTTGCTTACATCATTTAGTTCATTAATCATTTTCTGTAATTGAGATGCTGTTTCGGAGAAGAGTATGATGTCATCCGCAAATCGAAGATTACTGAGGAATTTCCCATTTATGTTTATTCCTTTCTTTTCCCAGTTCAGAGTTTTCATTATATTTTGTAGCACAGTTATAAAAATTCTAGGTGACAGGGGGTCACCTTGTCTGACGCCTCTACAAATGTTTATTTCAGGACCATGTCTCTCTAACTTTACACGACTTTTGCTTTTGTAGTAGATGTCTTTTATAAGAGCTATAGTCTCCGATGGTATTTCGCACTCATGTAGAGCTTTCCACATGCTCGTATGTGATATAGAGTCGAATGCTTTGGCGTAGTCGATAAATGCCAGGTATAATGGTCTATTGTGCTCTATATATTTCTCTATAATCAAATTCAAAGTGTGGATGTGTGCAAATAAAGCTTAAATAAATAAATAAATAAATTACCTTTCCTGTTTTGGCTGTGGTAAGAAAAGGGGAGATCTGCCGCCGGGCAAGGTGTTTTTGCCCGGAGAGCGGCCAACGCTCTAAGTGGCGACTACAGCGCCGCCACATGAGGGGGTGCCCCTGCTCATACCGGAGGTCGATAGTGCAGTCCGATTGGCGGTGCGTCCTTAACGCCGGTGGGGAATGCATGCTGTGTGCATTAGACATGCGCGCCGCGCCGGCGCCGCCGCGCCACGCCGCGCCCTGCCCACGCTGCGCCGCGCCGACAAATCCGATCGGCGCGCCGTAATCCAACGCGGGACGGGCGCGCGGGCGCGGGGTCAATAAAACCATGCTATTATTTAAAAATTCAAAAATCAATAAAAAAATGTAAAAAGATCGTAAAAATCGTTCGGTATCGCTTACCGGAATTGAAGCGAGCGGCGGAAATAGAACAAATTAAATTTTTACAGTCTCTGGAGCGCGTATCAGAACTTTATGTATATAAAAAGTACTCTGTGATCAGAACCGCCAAGTGAGCGCGTTTTTTCTATAGTGGGACTAACTGTGGCTGCTAAAAGATCTAGACTACGCCCAGTACGCGTTAATAAAATTATTTTTATTCATGATAATTATACATTGTGCAAAAAACACAATTTTAATTTCCTATAATTTGTGCAAAAAACGAAAAAAATGTGCTTTTTCGTTTTTGTACAAATTATAAGGTATAATTAATTAGAACTTGTTTGGTTTGTTTTTATTTTGAGAAATTAAATTTGAATTCCTATCTAGGTCAATGTTTCACTTGTTACTACCTTATTTTAAACAAATGTTTATAAAAATTTAAATAAAATACGGCCACGCCGGCGCGGCGTCGCCACGCCGACCACAATGAGTCGGCGCGCCGCCGCCGCCAAATTCTTGCTCGGCGCGCATGTCTAGTGTGCATACGGGCAAGTGATGCCAGTGAGAAAGATGGGCCGGAGCAAGTGCCAGATGTATGCCTTATAAATTTGCGGTGAGTCGAGATGAAGAAGAATATGAACTAAATAAAACCCTTTTGTTACGGATTTTATCGCGTTTCATTTACTTATTTTAATTCCCGATGTTTCGGGTGCTTTACAGCAAACCATGGTCACGGTCACGGAGGGGGGCGGGGGGGAGATGGACTGAGATGTTTGAAGTCTCGATGTCACAGTTAGGCCGGCTACCATCACCGGTTTTTGAATATTAATTTTTGGTTCGATCTACGTAGAAGAGCTTACAGTATCTTGAAGTCTTACAGTGGTGCTTGAGTTTGGATTTAGTTTTGTAAATTATAGGATTTCAAGCAGATGGCAGATGGGTTCTATTCGTCTTCTCTATTGAAATTAGGATGGTTATTAATTTCAATAGCCTCGCGTATCATCCTTGGTAGAAATCGGTGTTAAAATTGGAGTATTCGGATTACTTTTACACTAAAACAAATGGAACACATAGTGACCCGTGTGTCCGGTGAGCGTGTGTATGTGGCCTTGTGTTAGCGTGTGCACAATAGATAACAAATGGAACACATAGTGACCTGCGGCTCGGCGGCCTGGCACGCGAGCGCGGCCACGGTGTCCGTGTGTCCGGTGAGCGTGTGTATGTGGCCTTGTGTTAGCGTGTGCACAATAGATAACAAATGGAACACATAGTGACCTGCGACTCGGCGGCCTGGCACGCGAGCGCGGCCACGGTGTCCGTGTGTCCGGTGAGCGTGTGTATGTGGCCTTGTGTTAGCGTGTGCACAATAGATAACAAATGGAACACATAGTGACCTGCGGCTCGGCGGCCTGGCACGCGAGCGCGGCCACGGTGTCCGTGTGTCCGGTGAGCGTGTGTATGTGGCCTTGTGTTAGCGTGTGCACAATAGATAACAAATGGAACACATAGTGACCTGCGACTCGGCGGCCTGGCACGCAAGCGCGGCCACGGTGTCCGTGTGTCCGGTGAGCGTGTGTATGTGGCCTTGTGTTAGCGTGTGCACAATAGACAACAAATGGAACTGTTATAACAATGTATCAAAATAATAAAAGTACTTCTTATTTGTATTTTGCTACTAGTAACGCCATCTCATGTGCAATGTAGACACTATATTGTATTAAGCATATTTATGGTACTATGCCAGTTTTATATAAGATTTGTACGATTGTCTATGTATACTTTAAAAATAAAACCAGTCTGTTAGCGACATTCACGTGTTTAATTATAGGTTATGGGCCCAGCCCTGAATTATCAGTTTTTTTTTGTTCTAGATAGTTAGTGAAAGTTGTATCGCGGAAACATGACTACGAACTATATTGCCAGTGTTCCTAAATTAAAAGGAAGAGAGAACTATGATGAGTGGAGCTTCGCGGCTGAAAATTTGTTGGTGCTCGAAGGGATGGACAAGTACATCAAACCGACGCCAGATTTTGAACTTAAGCTTGTGGACGATGCAAAAACGAAGGCAAAGCTAATATTGACTATAGACCCGTCATTGTACGTACATATTAAGAACACCAAGAGCTCAAAAGAATTATGGACTACGTTGAAGACCATGTTTGATGACTCCGGTTTCTCGAGAAAAATAACCTTGCTGCGACATTTGATATCCATACGACTAAATAACTGTGATTCTATGGCGACATATGTGACTCAAATGGTTGAGACAGCACAGCGGTTAAATGGCACGGGCTTTACAATAACAGACGAATGGGTTGGCTCACTATTATTAGCAGGTTTGTCTGATCGTTATACACCCATGATCATGGCAATTGAACATTCGGGTATTTTGATAAGTGCAGATGTCATAAAG